GCACCACAGAGCCTCGTAGTTAGGATCTAGCACAGCAGCAAGGACTGTGGAGAGCTGCTTCTGTCAGCCCCTCTGTGGGTAGCAGTCTCCACCATGAAACCAGATTTAACCTGCTACCCAGGAAGATGGAGGTGCTGGCTGAGGTCCAAGCAGAGCATCTCACAGAAGCAACTTTCCTGAGCTGGCCCTGGGCACTGCCTTTTTCACTCAAGGTGCTCAACAGAGAGCAGAAATCACCCAGCTTCCTAGCCCCTGGGGCACATTTGGCAGTGGCTCAGGGCTTACTCCAAGCTGTGATGCCAGCAGCTTGTCTGCTGAACACTCACTGGTATCAGGCTCCCAGTTTACCCATGAGACAGGTGGCCCTGACCTCATCCCACAGAGGAAGAAACAGGCACAGAGGTTCCTTGTGCCCTGACCACTAGCCAAGAAGCTGTAGCCCCAGGATGCTGGCTTACTGCCAGCAGGTAAAGGCAGAAGGCCTGAGCATTGGCCCCCAGGGGTGACCTTGCACGCCAGTGAGGGCCTGTCTTCCCCCAGGGACAGGAGGCAGCCCAGGCCCTTCCTGGAGGGACAGTGGGTTCCAGCCACTGACCTGAGCCAGGGAGAAGCAGCACAAAGCTTGGCTGCTCTGTGCTGTGAATGGCAGGCTGTGGCCCAGGTTCCTCCGGGCCTCAGAGCTGCCCATCAGGGCAGAGTGGCCTATGGTGGAAAGTTCTGGCACTGTCTGGAGCCGGCTGAGTTTGGAACCAAGACCCTCTGCCAGGGTCTGTTGGTCTCTAGGGACCTGGGGCTGTGTCCAGGATTTAAACATCTGAGAAGTTTGTGTTTTGTCTTGTTTTGTTGGTTAAAGAATCCCCTTCACGGATACAGTGACAACCATTCTATAACTAGAAAGTGTTTTCATGGACTAAGACATTTGTTTTTGTAGTCCAAGCTCCCTTGTGTCCTCAGATATCCTTAAGAAACCGTTTCCTTTCAAAGAAGGCAAAAGGATTTCCATCTGAGAGCCTTACCCTGGCAGTTGGCAGGCATTTGGGTTAGCAGGCAGTGCCTTGGGGGGAGGGTATACCCAGAAGCACTCAGTCCAAGTCACCTGTCTGTCCCTGACAGCTTCTCTTGGTGTGTCTTCTTGTCTACCTCCCTCCTCTTTCCTACCTGGGCCAGGAGGACACTGCACAGGTCCAGATTCCCCGTACCATGCCCTTTCCAACACCTGTCCTGCTCTCCAGGACCACTTCTGGAACGTCAGCTTCATGAGCTGAGCCACAAAAGGGCCATAATGCCCCACCCTTAAGAAAGGAGCCCCAAGGTGGTCCTGCTTCTGCCTTACCCTCCTCCAGGGGAGAGGGTGCTGTCTTGGGATGCTGGCATCTTCCCTGCACTGTTCCCTTTGACTATGGGCCATGCCTTGGACCTGTCTCCCTGACCTCCATCGCCATCCCCAGGTAGAGCTCCTGAGGGCCAGCTGGGGGAGTATGGAGTGAGGTTTGGAGGCCTTGGGACCCAGATCATGCCTTGTCTTGCCAGTGATTCTTTAGAGGCAAATATACCTTTGTCCCCTCCTGGTGGAGGGGTAGGTGGGCTGGCAGAGGGCTTCCTCCCCTAGCCTGGCCCATGGAGGTATGGAAGTACCCCTTTTTTCTTCACGTGGGTCTCTGGTCTAAAGGACATTGCCTGGGAGAATGAGGACCACTCCCCTGGTCAGGAATGGGTGTGAGTCTAGCCAGTCATACCTTAGCACCCCTCCTTGCAGGAGCTGCCCTTCCTTGCCCCCCCATAACTTTAGTCCCTGCACCCACTTGTCTGCATCAGACTGACCAATACCCATTCTTTTCCAGGGGTGGCGATAAGCACCTACGCCAAGTACTGTTACCACAAGCTGCAGAAGGCAGCCCTGACAGGGGCCAAAAAGGTACAGGCACTTCTGGGAGCACCAGGGCAGGGTGGCACCAAGGCTGGGAGAGCTGGCTGGCAGAGCATGAGGGGCCTAGAGCCCAACTAGTTGGCTGGCCAGGAAGGCCTCTGAGATCTTACGTTCTCCTGCACTGGGACACCCACTTCAGGTTCAGTGCAGCTAAGGGGGTGTGGGAGAGGCCAAGGGGTCAGGCAGCCTACCTGGGTTAGGTGGCCAGCCTCCTGGCTATGCCAAGCCTGCCCTCATGCATGGTGTGCACAGCTAAGGAGTAGGATCCTGGCTACACGGACCTGACACCCCAGCTAGTATAGCCAGAAGCAGGAGCCAGACACAGCCACAGTAGAGACCTCCCACGGGAAAGGATCCTCTTCCCTCGCAGTCTCAGGCTCCAGCGAGGCCCCAAAGGGCACCGGCCACTGCATTCCCTGGGAGCCCATGCCTGCAATGTCAGCTGCTCATCCATCCTCGCCTTCTTCAGTCCCCTTCTGGCTCTGGCCTCTTATTCCCTGGTTTTGACCCCGTTTCCTCTTCCCTGCAGCCCACCTCCATCCAGGAATTCTCTTGGGCCCCTTGTACCTGTTCCAAGACCTGGCCTATCTTCCTCACTTCCTCTCCCTTTTGCTATGTTGCCCCATCACAGTTAGTCGAGGCCCCTGTGTCCCTGACAGGCCCATCCACGAGTCACTCCCATCTCCCCACATAGCCTTTGGGGTCACTTAAATCTTTAGGTGCTGTACGTGGCCTGGAAGGAGGCCACCTTGGCAACTCCATCTGGGCATTAGGGAGGAGATGGCACTGAGCTGGGCATCTCTGGAGGATGAGATGGGCATTGGGGTGGAAACAGGGAGGCTGAGCGAAACCAGGACAGGAGAGTGGCTGTCTTCACAGGGGCTGAAGAAGCCCAACGTGGAGGAGATCCGGCATGCCAAGAACGCCGTGTTCAGCCCATCTATGTTCGGCAGCTCGCTGCAAGAGATCATGAGTATGCAGAAGGAGCGCTACCCTGACAGGCAGCTGCCTTGGGTACAAACACGGCTCTCCGAGGAGGTGCTGGCACTCAACGGTGACCAGACGGAGGGCATCTTCAGGTGCCATGCCAATCCCGGGCCCTGGGTGTGGGGGCCATAGGCATGTGTCCACCATGCATATCTGGCAAGCAGGAACCCTGAGTCAGGCCCACTAAGCCTGCTTTGGAATAGATGGAAAGGTGGGCTATCTCACGGAGGCAGATCTTGACAGGCAGGATAGGTCCCTATGCTTGAGAGGCAGGTCTGCTGGGTACGCCCTCCCTCCATAACAGCAGCAGGGCCAGCCAGGCATGGTGTCTGCAGAAATGGCCACCAGGGTCCTGAGGGTGCTTGGAAGACAGCCAGAACCAGTGCCTAAGACCTGAGCCTGAGAAAACATGTAACTGACCAGGTGCAGCGTTCAACCAGACAGCTCAGCAACCCTGACTCACATGGTGTCTCTGAACAGGGATGTGAAAGCCCCTTGCCTGCAGGAGGCACTTTTCTGTGGTGTTAGTTAGTTGTGACTCACATGTCAGATCCAGGGGCATCCAGATCCCCCAAAGTATGGCAAGGGAAGTTGAGGGTTGCAAGTTTGGGCCTTAGTGGCCCTGCAGAAGGCCCAGGAAGGGCTGGTGGTCTGGGAGGACCTCACACTCCAGATCTGTGTACATGGAACAGGGACCCAGAAGAAGGCAGTGAGGCCCAGAATCACATACCCCAGGGAAAGGGGTAAGTGGGTGGAGAAGCCTTGAGGGTCTCTACCGCCTCACCCCTGGGCAGCTGGGCAGGCCAAGCTCTCTCAACTGAGACCTGCCCTGTACTACTCAGGGTTCCTGGGGACATTGATGAGGTGAATGCCCTGAAGCTGCAGGTGGATCAGTGGAAGGTGCCTACAGGCCTGGAGGACCCCCACGTTCCTGGTGAGCACTTAACCCACTCAAGGTTCCATAGGTGCTGGCCTACATGCACAGCCCAGAAGGGAGATGGACACTCACCCTTCCAGGGGCCACTCAGTCTCATCCCTTTGTCCAGGCCTGCTGTGGCTCCATCTCTTGACCCTCTGTCCTCTATTTCTGGGGCCCACCCTGGCTAACTCCTCCACTTCAGGCAACCTTCTGCCCTAGGGCACCCCAGCCCAGCCCCAGTGCAGAGCGGCACAGCATGTGGTGGTGGTAGTGGGGGGGTGGGGCAGGTCCTGATCAGCCTCCTAGCAGCTGCACTACACTGCAAGAAACTATTCTACAGTCACTGGAGCATCATCTCCCCTCATGCCTCCAGGATTAAGGGGGCATGGCCAGGGGGCCCTTTTATGGAGACCCCTCCCTACACTCCTGGGTGTGGCCCAGTGGGCTGCTTGGCCCTGGTGACCCCAGAGCAGGCCCCTCTGAGCCTCACCCATCCGCAGCGTCGCTGCTGAAGCTGTGGTATCGGGAACTGGAGGAGCCCTTGATCCCGCACGAGTTCTACGAGCAGTGCATCGCGCACTACGAGAGCCCCGAAGCCGCCGTGGCGGTGGTGCACGCGCTGCCTCGCATCAACCGCATGGTGCTGTGCTACCTCATCCGATTCCTCCAGGTATGCCCCGCCCCCGCCTGCCCTCTGCCCCGCCCCACCCACTGCTCCACCCACCCTCCACCTCACCCCTTGCACAGGTGTTTGTGCAGCCCGCCAATGTGGCCATCACCAAGATGGACGTCAGCAACCTCGCCATGGTGATGGCGCCCAACTGCCTACGCTGCCAGTCAGATGACCCGCGCGTCATCTTCGAGAACACGCGCAAGGAGATGTCCTTCCTTCGGGTGCTAATCCAGCACCTGGACACCAGCTTCATGGAGGGTGTGCTATAGCGCGGGCCGGGGCAGCATGGGGCCCCGCCGCGAGCCAGGAGCAGCCAGGCCGGGGCCGCGCCACCTCGCCCCGATGAGTGCCTTCTGCTCCCGGTGCCGAGCACATGCCCTCCCCTTCCCGGGCGCGGGGCTGGCGGACAGGGGCGAGAATATTTTTTTCTTGGGGTACCTAGGAATCTGGAACCTGCGCATAGATATATAAATAGAACGACAGAAGCCAGGACGTTTGCTAAAAGACATAATCTAATCCGACGCCATTCGCCTCGGGCACGACCTTGTGTCGCCACCCTGCGGCCTCGACCAGCCCCGCGTCGGTTGCGGTTTCCACCCGGAATCAGAGTTCCTCCAACTGTTGTCAAACTTCATTTCCTCCCAGTTTTTATATATATATTTTTAGAGTTTTTATTTATTAAAAACAAGCCCAGTTCGCCGTGTCCCCTGAAGCGGGGTCCTCCTTCCCGTGGGCCCTGGCTTCTCCAGGCGGCTCGGCGCTGGCGCTCACTCTGGCGCATCGTGTGAATAAAGTTCATGTGGATACTCGGCCGCTGCCTGCTGCTCGCTTTCCTTCTCCTCGGGGCTCGCAGGTCAGGGTGGGGCGCGGCTGCCCCCTGGGGGCCGGAACCCAAAGCGCACACGAGTGGAGCCCGGGGGACACTTATTCGCGCAGCACCACACCCCAGATGACCTGCCTACCGCTTCCGACACGGAAGGATGTGGCCGCCGCATTGTGGGGCCCTTCGGAGCTTGTCCTTGTCCTTAGCCTTGGCACGATCACAGGGAACTCGGACCTATAGTAAGGACAGGGATGTCGCCTACACGCAGGGCCAGAGCCCGGAACCACGGACCCGCGAGTACTTTTACTACTTGGATCATCAGGGCCAGGTGTGTGTGTGTGGCGGGGTGAGTCGGGCTTGGGGCAGAGGCAGAAGGAATGGGGCCAGGGGTCCGCTACAGTTGGTCATACCAAGGCCAACCTGCCACACCGGGCCACGTCCCAGAGGCCTGGGGCTGAAGTCTCACGACGGTGGAAGACTTCAGGCAGCCCTGCCCAGAGCGTCTAGCATATCCCTGAGGAACCGGACCAGGTAACCTCAGCGGAAGTGGTATATCTTGATTAGAAACTTGAAGCCGGGCGTGGTGACGCACTCGGAAGGCTGAGATAGCAAAATCACTGCGAGTTCCAGATGAGCCTGGGCTACATAGAGAGACCTCGTCTCAAAAAAAAAAAAAAAAAAAAAAAAAAAATCAAGTCCGAAAAAAAAAAAAAAAAAACACAAACGAGAGAAGATACAGCTCAGCGGCACAAGCGCCTACCTGACTAGCGGAAAGTCCTGAGTTCGATTCCCGGTACCAAACAAAACCAGAAACTTCAAAGAAGAGACAGGGCTGTCGGCCCCGGGAATCTGCAGGGAAGCTCTAACTGGAGCGTAAATAGAATCCCCTAGGTTTTCTTTTTTTTTTTTTCCCCAGACAGGGTCTCGCTATATAGTTCAAGCTGGCCTTGAACTCCCTATGTAGCCCAGGCTGGCCTCGAACTCGATGCAGTCGTTCTGCCTCAGCCTTCAAAGTGGTGGGATTACAAGCGTGAGCCACCACCCCGGGCGAATACCCCAGATTTACTCAGTGTGCACACAGAAGCAAAGACAGCAGACAAGGCCTGGGCCTGCCCGCTGGGACTCATTGTCCACTGCCTCCCACTCTGCAGCTCTTTCTGGATGATTCCAAAATGAAGAACTTCATCACCTGCTTCAAAGGTATGGCTGCGCCCCTTCCTTCGCCCCGCAGGGCGCCCGTCAGTCTCACTGTGGCCAGAACGGGCCTTTAACACGGTGCAGGGCGCAGCGCCTCCTGAGGAGCGGGACCCCTGGGGGTAGCGTGGTGAGCATCTGCACCTTATACTCCCCTAGACCTGCAGTTCCTGGTCACCTTCTTCTCCCGCCTGAGACCCAATCACAGCGGGCGCTACGAGGCCTCTTTCCCCTTCCTCTCGCCCTGTGGGCGAGAGCGCAACTTCCTGCGCTGCGAGGATCGGCCGCTGGTCTTCACACACTTGCTGACAAAGGGTGACGGGTCTTCTTGCCTCTCCTACTGCGGCGGGGGCGAGGCCCTGGTCGTGCCCTTCGAGCCAGAGCGCCTGCTGCCCCTGGCGGCCAACGGGCGCCTGTACCACCCAGCCCCGGAGCGCGCGGGCGGCGTAGGTCTGGTACGCTCTGCCCTGGCCTTCGAGCTCAGCGCCCACTTCGAGTACCCGCCCGGCGACCCCACGCTGCCCTCGCACGTACGCTGGCGGGGCCGCCGGCTGGCCCTTACCTTGGACTTGGCCCCACTGTTCACTTCGGCCCAGCAGTTCTGACTCGCAGCTGGCGCACCCCCCACAGCCTCCCGCTCCTTCCCAGTCCTCCCCAAGAGCTCTCTGGATTGGCTTGCGCGGGCGACGTCAGCCCGGGACAGCAGGCGGGGCCCCGGTGCGCGTGCGCGCCCTCCCCTCCCTCCCAGTTGCTGCTCCGGCCCAGCTGTCACTGGCACCGCGGGGAGCCGCACGTCGCGGGAGCGTCAGGTGAGCGGGCCCTCGGGGGACCAAGGTCGCCAGTCTTGGGGACGCAATCCAGGCACTATCTCACGTCCGACCTGTGGGCACGGCGCGAAGGGCGTGCAGACCCGTGAGATAGAGGGAGCGTGGAGGCCACGCCCTCTGACGGGCCCAGGACCCACTGGTGGAGGATGCGGACCGGGAAGGTCGAGCGGGACCCAGGTGCCAGGTCCTAAGTGCTGACGCGAGATACTGCTCGGCGGGCGCATAGCCCACTCCGTCCCTTCTACCCAGATTGGTGCCTGGGATGCTGACGCCCTGCCCCCGCCCAGCCGGATTAGGGGGCTTTCCACTGGTAAAAGGATTTCCAGGCTCTTCTCTCCTGAGGCCCTTGTTCCTGCCCCACGTCTCTTCTACACCAGTGTGCACGAAGGGGGTCCGCGTAAGCAGCAGCGCCGAGCCTGAGGAAACCATGGTTTTGCTGCTGATGGGCGGGCGGGCAAGTCCTGGAGTCAGGGCCCACCCCTTCAGGCTCAGAAAGGTGACTCCCAGGACCCCAGATAATGCTCCCAGCTTCCTGAAGCTCACATGGATTGTGAGACACCTGGGAACTGCTGCTGTCTGAGCCAAAGCTGTTCTATTAAAACTTTATTGCTGCACTTACCTCATTTCTAAATGACTTTAAATAATTACGGGAGTTAACAGTTGGGGCAAGGTTGAAACAAACATCAAAGCCACTTGGTACCTTTCAGTATATCTCAAGGTGAACAGTGAGACCTAGTGAGTAGTCAGGGGAAACAATGTCAGGTGAGGTTAGAGGCCAGAGACAGTACACCCTTGGTCCTGTCTTCCCTGGCTCCAGATGAGCTGGCTTCTCAGCCTTGGCCCTACCTTTAACTAAACTTAAAGCTGGGCTCACAGTGCTTGGAACCAGACCCCAACTTTCCCATCCCTAGGGCCTTAGGTGCATACATAAACCCCTACTGGCCACGTACTCCTCGGTAGTAAAGTCATTGCTCACAGAGCCCACTCAGGATGCCACGGTAGCCAGGTGTGGTGGCGCACACCTGTAATCCCAGCACTTGGGAGGCTGAGGCAGGAGGATCGTTGCAAGTTTGAAGCCAGCCTGGGCTACGAAGTGAGCTCAAGGCCAGCCTGAACTGTACAGCAAGACCCTTCTCAAAAAGACAAAAAAAAAAAAAGATGCCACGGTAGAAAACAGCTCCGTGGAAGCTGGCAGAGATAGCTCCAGCATCTATGTAAGGCAGATATAGAGTGACTTAAAAGTACCAAAGTTCTTGAACACCTTCAGGTCATCAGAAGGCAGGCAGAGCATGTGCTTAGCTTGTTTCACCTGCATGAGGCTATGGGGCCAATCCCCAGCACCCCTCCCCCAAGAAAAAAAAAAGATCTAGGCATGGTGGTGCACAGCTGTAATTCCAGCACTCTGGGAGGCTAAAGCAGCAAGTTTAAGCCTAGCCTAGCCAACTTAGTGACTTGAGACCCCAACTCAATATTAAGAAAGAATAAAAAGGACTTGGAATAGAAAATATAGCTGGTCCATTCCCCAGTACCAGAAAAAGAAAAACCTATTTGGCAGCCTAAGCCCTTCTCTCATATCCCAGCTTTCCCAGGATCCTGCCTACCAAAAAGAGGCCCTTCTACAAGGCAGCCAAGGAAGCACAAGCCCATGGCTTCTGAACTGATTTTCCCAGTATCTGTCTCATCCTTCAGTTCTGTACAAGTGACCTGAGAAAAAGCCCCAACGCTTTCCAAGCACTCTGCCTACCTCCACCCCCTAGGAAGGTACCATGAGTGCTATGCCAAGCTTGGCCTGGACTTCCCTATGGCTCATGGCTCCTCCAAGACCAGATCTACCATTGTCTCCCCTCAGGTCATGACAGATGGACCTCAAGGTGGGGACAGCACAAATGCAAAGGACAAAAGAACTGGAGTTAACTGTGGGCTAAGGTCAGGTAGGGACCTGAGCCTTGTCCTGGGGGCACAAAAGGGACCTCTGTTGTGGGTTGAGCTTTAGGTTCCTGCCAGTCCTCCCACCACCATGGGAGGACAGGGGACATGTTTACCCAGAGCCTGCTCTCCCAGCTTCTACCCATGCTTGGCCCTGGAATGTGCCATCTGGCATTCCCCAAGCCCTTGCCCTGGGAGCCACTTGCCCTCAGCCAAAGAATTTCACCAGGGTGCAGATGTCACTGGAGAAGCATGACCCCTCACTCGCCCAGGAAGGGGTCTGGAGCTGGGTGAGTCTCTCCACATGGCCATATTCTGTGAAGAAGCCGAGAACACCAGGAGTTCATTTCAATCTCATGCCCTAAGTCTTTATGAAGGTGGCTTGTCAAGGGTAGAAAACAGAAAACTGTATTCATCTACTTCTTGAGCTAACAAAACTATTCGTAAGTTAGACACAGGTTGTAGGCCTCCATTCATGCCCTTTTGGTGGCTCTGGAGTATTGGCACTGGCCTGCCCACCTGTGTTTCAGGAGGCACATCCTGTCTACAGCTGGACTCTGAGGAGGCCTTGGCAGCTTGGTGGGCCCACGCTGCTCTCCCAGGAGATGGCTTCCAGGGCTCCTGCGCTGTTGCTGCTGCTGCTCCTCCCATCCCACCCCGAGGGCTGCCCTGCTGCTTGCCACTGCTACAGTGCGACGGTGGAGTGCGGCGCCCTGCGGTTGCGCGTTGTCCCGCAGGGGATACCCCCAGGGACACAGGTGAGCAGTGCATCCCAAGCTTCGGGACTGAAGGAGCCAAGTGCACACATAGGCGGGTGGGTAGGAGTGACCCCAGAGAGCAGGAGGCCTCGCCATGGTGTAAGCATCCCCCTCCCCCAACCCACAGACGCTGTTCCTGCAGGACAACAGCATCTCGCGCCTGGAGCCAGGCACTCTGGCTCCACTCGCCTCCCTGAGACATCTCTACCTGCACAACAACAGCCTGCGTGCCCTGGAATCTGGCGCCTTCCGGGCACAGCCCCGCCTGCTTGAGCTGGCCCTCACGGGCAACCGGCTGCGTGGCTTGCGTGGCGGCGCTTTCGCAGGCCTAGCACAGCTGCGTGTGCTCTACCTGGCAGGCAACCAGCTAGTGCGGCTGCTGGATTTCACCTTCTTGCACCTGCCGGTGAGCACCAAAGACCTAGAAGTAGGTTCTCTTCCTATGCAAGTTGCCCTGCTGGCTGTAATAGGGGGAGAAAATTCAACCCAGTCTAGCGTGACAGCGCACTTTTTCCTAATTATCTCCTATCCCTACTTCAGCGACTGCAGGAGCTGCACCTGCAAGAAAACAGCATTGAGCTGCTGGAGGACCAAGCCCTAGCCGGGCTCTCCTCTCTGGCCCTGCTGGACCTTAGCAGAAACCAGCTGGGAACCATCAGTCAAGAGGTCCTGCAACCCCTGGCCAGCCTGCAAGTCCTGCGTCTCACAGGTAACTCTTGGGCAAGAGTCTCTGCCCTGGCCACAGTGGCAGTGGAGGGGAACAGGCCCAGATATGGAGAGGGCTTCTATGCCAAACCCTTGGGTACCATTTTGGAGGGCCACACCACTGTCTTGCAGCCAGGGTAGAGGACTGCCAGGAATGGGGAAGCTGGCAGAGACAGCTCCAGCATCTACCTAAGGAAGACAGATTAGGCAGATAAAGAGTGATTTAAAAGTAACAGAGTTCTTGAACACCTTCAGGTCATCAGAAGGCAGGCAGGCAAAACCAGAAAAGAGACAGCTGACCAGGATTGGGGGAAATTTCCAGGAGAGGGCATTTAAAGATAAAGTTTTAGTGCTGTTGGGATATCTATGTGGACACCGAGGTTCCCCAAAACAGTGAGACTTACTTGAGTGAGAAACTTCAGAGGAGCAGAAGCTTTCTCAGGGACAGGCAACGAAGGGCCCGCCACCACCCCAGGGAACTTGGAGTCAGAGAAGAGGTGACAAGGATCCTGGACTCTGGTGAGATGCTGTGGGAGATGGGGAAGGGGATTCTACCTGTGCCAGCAGAACCCCAACTCAATAGGCTCTGTTCTGTTCTGCCTACAGAGAATCCTTGGCGGTGCGACTGTGCCCTGCACTGGCTGGGTGCTTGGATCAAGGAAGGGGGCCAGCGATTGCTTAGCTCCAGAGACAAGAAGATCATGTGTGCAGAGCCCCCGCGCCTGGCGCTGCAAAGTCTCCTGGATGTGTCAGGCAGTAGCCTCATCTGCATTCCGCCCTCTGTACACGTGGAGCCGCTGGAGGTCACAGCCAACCTGGGAGACGACCTGAGGGTGGCCTGCCAGGCCTCGGGCTACCCGCAGCCCCTGGTCACCTGGAGGAAGGTGCCCCAGCCTCGGGAAAACCGGCCACAGGCCCAGGCCCAGCTGGAAGGTGGGGCGGCAAGCCTGGGCAGGCACGGGGCTTCTGACACCGGCAGTGGCATGCTCTTCCTCACCAATATCACGCTGGCACACGCCGGCAAATACGAGTGCGAAGCCGCCAATGCGGGCGGCGCCGCCCGTGTACCCTTCCGCCTCTTAGTCAACGCCACCCGGCCACACCGGCTGGCCCCCCTTGCCCCGGCCACGCGCCCCAAAGGCCACGAGCAGCAGCACGAGGCGGGCAGCATGGCCTTCCGCGCCCTGGGCCTGGCCACGCAGACAGCCATCGCAGCGGCCATAGCGTTGCTGGCGCTCACAGCACTGCTGTTGGCAGCCATGATCTGCCGGCGCCGGCGCCGGCGCAAAAAGGCACGCGCGCCGCCGGGGGAAGGCACGCTGTTTGTCAACGACTACTCGGACGGACCCTGCACCTTCGCGCAACTCGAGGAGCTCCGCGACGAGCGCGGCCACGAGATGTTCGTCATCGATCGTTCCAAGCCGCTGTTCGTGGAAGGGCCGGTGGACATTCCCGAGGACCGAAGCACTACAGAGGGCCTGGCGCCCGGGTTCCGCCTCCCGCCGCGCGTTGCCTATGAGATCCACTGCTGAGCCCGCCGCGCGTACCGATGACGTATGCACCGGGGATTGGCCGGCGCGACCCCTCGTCAGTAAAAGTGGAAGCCGCGCTTTTGCGCTGAGCCGTGTGTGTGGCGTTGCCCACGGGAGCCCTGGGGCTGCAAGGGAGCCAGAGAGGCCCCCAGAAGCCCTTCCAGGGGGAAAATCGCTGGCCCTGGGCAAAGATGCTGTTAGAGCTAGCATCGAGGGGGAGGGCAACAGGCGAGATGACAGCTGTTGCCCAGTGGCCATGCTGGGGTAACAGCAGAGATAGAAACAAGGCACTCTGACCAATGAGGACAGAAAAATCAACCAGAGATAAAGTTCCAGATACACTGCACGTTTGTACCTTCATAACACCCTCCAGTCCCAGAGCCAGCTGACAGGTTGGTTTGGGTATGAGGGATGGGGCCCCATGCCTCCCTGAAGTAGGCCATCCCTACGTCAGCCCACTGCACTCTTGGGAAGGACCCAGAGTCCACTGTCCCTCTCAGCTCACAGCTAGGGTCCCAGGAATATCCACAGAGGGGGCCAGGACGCCAAAGCTCAGCCACACTGAATAGAATAAAGCAGGCCTGAAATTCAGCCCAGTGCCCATAGTCAGCCAGTTAGGAAGTATGTGCAAGGCCAAGTGAAGAACACAGCAGGAAAGAGGAGGCTTAGGGTGTGCGAAGGAGCAAGGCAGACCCCGTGAGAAGCCTGAGACCAGTGCCTTTGTGTCAGGCCTCCAAGAGTCCCAACAAGGCTCCTGACCTGTGTTATCAGCCAAAGCCTGGAGCTTACAGGCTGAAATAGTCTGCAGCCAGGCGACCATAGATGTCTGTGGTCCAGAGCACATGGGCACGGCCTGAGGCCAACAGTAGCTGGTGCAACTCAGCTTCTACACGAGCGAACTTTTCCTCATTAATGGAGGCCTCCAGCAGGACAGATGCAGGTGGTGGCCAGGGCAGACCTTCATAGCAGTCCACAGGAAAGGGGTGCACCACAGTGCGCAACTCAGCCTGCACCACCGAGTCCCGCAGCAGCTCCTTAAGGCCAGCTATGGACAATGGATTGCCATAGAGGCCAAGGTAGCGGAGACTGGCACACTGAGTCAAAGTGGGGAGTGTGGCCAGTAGCTGGGCATCAGCAAGCTGGCACTCGGTCAGCTCAAGATGCAGCAGTGTGACCCTTGCTGCCTGCAACAGACCCTGGAAGGGCGTCAGCTGGCTGCCTGACAGGTCGTTCCCACTCAGGTCCAGCTTTTTGAGATGGGCAGCATGGGAGCTCCGTGCCAGGAACTGCAGGTCCTCAGGCATCAGAGCACAGAAGGCCAGCTCCAAACTCTCCAAGGGGCTCTGCAGAGTGCTGTGGGGACACAGGGGTCACAAACAGGCAGGCCCAAGGGAAGAGCTCCACATTAGGGAAAGGCAGAGAAGCGATGGGCCCACTCACCTGAGCAGTTGGTCCAGCCTTCCTGAAAGGAGAGAAGAACCCATGCTGAGCTCCCGCAGACAGGTGAAACGGCCCATCTGAGCCAGGAAGTAGCGAAAGTTGTCCTCACCATCCACGGAGGGCTGTCTTGAGTCCCCATGTACATAGTGCAGTCTCAGGCTGGCCAAGTGCTGAAAACGGGCCACATGTGGAATGATGACAGACAGGCCACGCAGGCCCAGATTGTTGAAGCGCAGGTCCACACGGCGCAGGCAGCCTGCATCCAGAAGCTGCAGCAGGGCCACGGTGTTACGCATGGGCAGGTCCTCAGCCCGGAGATCCCGGCAGCAGAGCCGAAGCGGGCTGCCTAGGCTGCTTCGGAGTGCCTCACGAAGGAATGCATATGAGGCCCGGTTCACCCGAAGGTCCACACGAACCTCCACAGGGACAGGAGCCGGCCCATGCTCCGAACTCCTGCCCTGCTGCTGGGCAATGCATGTGCGGGCCACAGCTGCTGTGCAATCCCACATGCTCATGGTACCAGGGTCCTGCTCCACACCATCATCCAGGAGACCAGTCATATCCAGCACCCGAAGAGCATGCTTCCTGGGAGCAGGGATGGCCTGAGGCAGGGATGAGGGGGCAGGGGCAGAGCCCACTCCCACTCCCACTCCCACTCCTAGCCACTTGGGATAGAAGCGATATACCTACTCCCATACTGAACTCTTGCTAACCCCAGGACCCCAGCCTAGAACCTTTTTAGGGGACCCTCCTTGTACTCCCAAGCTAAAGGGCCCCTCAGGTAAGCCCATACCTGCAGAAGGGTTGTGTGCCAGCCTCACCCTCTGGGGTGTGCAGCCGGGCAGTCAGCCCCAGGATCACAGCCTGCATGCTCTCAGTGCTGGGCCGCTCCTGCAGCAGGGCCCGGCTGCAGTGGGCACACTCCTGCAGCAGCTGCTGGAAGCTGAGCAGTGGGAAGGGCCACGTGTGCACCAGCTCACGCAGTACGACTGTCTTCTTGTCCATGAAGGCCACCTTGAAGAGCAGGGGGAAGAGCTCTCGGGGCAGCAGGGGTAAGGCCTGGCAGGCAGCTGACTGGCACTGGAGCACCTGCCGCATACTCAGGAACACAAGCGTGTGCATGGTGCTGGGCTGGGCAGGCAGCCACCTGCAGGAGACGGGCTTTCAGTGGAGAAGATCAACCCTAAGGCACCACCAGGCCCCCTCCATATACCACTGGTGAGAAAGCCCAACACGGTGCCTGGCATGGAGTTGCCAGTCAGTGGAGGATAGTGGTACAGAGGAGCACCTCTTAGATGCCTAGCACTGGCTGGGCCCAGTAGACAAGGGACAAGGCCATACCCCAGTCACCAACCTCCAAAGCATGCGGCTTCTTTAGGAAAACAAAGCATCAAGCAGTACATAAATGGGATGGCACCATCAATAACCTGCTTGTTTGTGTGTGCTTCTGACAGAAGGTGGTCGCTCTGCAGGGTCTCCCATTGGTACTTCAGGCTTCCCAAATCACAAAGCTGCTTCAGAAATCCTTCTCAAAAGTAGAGTAAAGCCCGGTCCTAACCCTCAGACTTTCACCAAGCCTAGAAGAAGTGTATTCCCAGGAGGCCAGCAGCCACATCATATTTCCCTCTCTCACCCTCCTCCCAGATGTGCTCAAGGGCTGTCCTTGGAATCCACGAAGTACAGACACAGCTTAATAAACACCAGGGCCGATAAGAAAAGGAGCAGAACCCAGGAAAGAGAATCCAGATAACATGACCTATGAGAGCAATATGAGCCCTACAGTTAATTACTATTTTCTGGGATGTCACCAGGCACAGAAACCCCTAAGAAAAAGCCTCTCACCTTCAGTGGTCCTTTCCACCTGCCTAGTCATCTCTCTCTTCCCTGAGGAACCAATGTGGAGAGAGACCAAGTCTTATATCCACGGGATTCAGAAGGGCTCAGGCCAGGGATTCCTCAGATGAGCCAGAGACGGCTGCCAAAGCAGCATCCAAACCGAGAAGACGCACACAAACGACCCTTGAGGCCGCCAGGATATCTGCGACATAGGGGATCAGCCCTGCTGCTGATTTTAGCAGACTTCCTGTGTGCAGGCAACTACAATACCACCATCCCCCTCTGAAAGACTGGAAAACTAAGGCCTAGGGTTTGCCCAAGGTCTCGGCCCATGGAAGGGGGCGGGATCAGCTCGGCTGTAGGGCCCCTGCGCTTGCTGACCTTGTCACGAACAGCCAAGTCCTTATGTCACAGGTTCCTGGGAAACCCCAGACACCCACCCTCGGCCTGGCTCGGCCATGCTCAAATCTCGCGAGGACGCTGCAGACCTCGCAGACAGGTCAGACTCACCGAGCACCTGTCACGAGAGGAAATGAAAACACCCTGCCTGGGTGCCAAGTGAGGTGCCTCTGGGCGACGCCCACACCCGATGGGCAGCCCTTGGGAAAGCCGCGGCCTCGGTGCCGCTAGTCGCGCAGACGCCCCCACCAGGCTCTTTGAGGCCGCAGCCGGAGGCCTAAACCCGATTCTCCTCCCCGATCAGGCGGGCCTGCTCCTCCGAACAGGCGCGTCCCCGCCGCAGCCGCCCTGCCCGGGCTCCCACCTTCGGCCTCCCAGCTGCCAGCCCCGCCTCCTCCGTTCGGCCCCCCGAGGCCAAGCGCCCCGCCCTCGGCGGCCCTGATCGCAGCCCAACATCCCGCACTCACCTGCCCAGCAGCAGCCGCCAACGCCGCCGGCCCCGCCTCTACCCCGAGTCGGTCCAGCCCGGCGCCTCGGCGCGGCGCGATGATGCTGCACCTCCCATTGGCTGCTCCTCCAGGGCCCCGCCGATTGGCCGCCCGGCCCAGAGAGCCGGTCCCCGTACGCGTCGCTTGCTCCCATTGACTGGCTTCCGGAAGACGTCCTGGTGGCGGGAGATTCGCGGGCACGCGACCCGGACGCAATGGAGCGGCTGTGGAACTTGCGGGCGCACCTGCAGGCGTGGGAGCGGGCGTTCGCGAGGCAGCACGGGCGGCGGCCCGCCCAGGTGCGGGCCACCGGGGTGGGTGGGGTTGGGGTCTAAAGCCACGGCCTCCGGCTGACGCGCTCCCTTCACAGGAGGACGTGGAGGCGGCGCCCGAGGAGACCCGCGGTGAGCGCACTGGCACTGCCAGGATGGCTGGAGCAGGGCTGAAGGGGCAGCGGCGGGCCGCGCCCTGACTCAGACTCCCTCCTGCTCCCCTAGCTCTCTACCGCAAGTATCGTGCCCTGAAGCAGGCTATGCGCCAGAGGGCCGGCGAGCCCTGCAGCCACAAGCAGTCGCTCTCCGCTTCAGCCCAGGAGGTACCCACGCCCGGAACCCCAGCCTCCTGGTAGCTTATTGCGAGGCCAAATGGCAGGAGTCAAGGGCAGTCACAGTCAAGCCCGCATGGGTGTAGAACTTGGAAGGAGAACAGGGCAGAGTGGGGAAGAGTCGGGCTGTCCTGGTGGTCAGGCAGCGGAGACTCGTCTATTCCAGGCCACCCTTTCTCTGTTCTGGGGTGTTAACTGTCTTTTGCAGGCTCCAGAGCCCAGCTGCTGGGGATCCCACCTGAATCGGGCTGCAGCGCAGAGTCCACAGCCTACTCCAGCGCTGAGCCCCCAGGGATCCGCACAAGAGTATGGGAAGAGACTTAAGGCCAATCTGAAGGTCACCTTACAGGTGAGGGGTGGAAGTAGACTAGTGTGCATCTACACTGGGCCCAAAGCTGCCCTGGGCTCTCGGCTCGTGGGCAAGTTCACCGGGTGCCTCAGGCATTACCTCCTGTGCTAAGCAGGGCCTGACTCCTGAGAGGCGCTGTGGAGCGGCCTCTGCCTCAGCTTCCTTTCTGTCCCAGCTTCATGCCCTGCTCTAACACTGAGGGTGAGGACTCAGGCAAGTCTCTGAGTCTGCAGCAGCCCAGGGACCTGAGTCTCCGGTACTATTTTGACCTCCTCTCCCAGGCTGACCCGGCCCTGGACCACAGGTGCCAGCCACCAGGTAGACTCTTGTCCAAGATGCCCACCCTAAAGCCACCTGGCCCAGGGACTTCTCCTACCTCTCCAGAAGAACTCGGTGATGCACTTACCAAGCCTTCTGAACCCCAGCCAAGGCCAGGCCGACTGCAGCAGCTTCGGGCATCCCTGAGTCTGCGGCTGGGCTCCTTAGACCCTGACTGGCTGCAGCGGTGTCACAGTGGAGCCTCAGATTATCTGCAGGCCTCCGAGCCCTCCAGCACAAAGGAGTCTCAACCTGTGACCCCAGGAGACGTGCCCGTCCTTGTCTCTAATACCTGCTCAGAGGCACGGTCTCAGGACCCCCATGCTCCAGTGCTACAGGCAGCACAAACCAGTGCAGACAGTCCCCAACTCAGCAGCCACAGAGGCAAGAAGCGAAAGTGGACTAAAGAGGATGGCAGCAGTCCTGTGCCGGTTCAGTGGGACAACATCCAAGCAAGACTCCAGTCTGAAGGGGCTGGGGCTGCAGCTCTTGAGGAGGACCCAGCAGGGGGTGCTGTACAGGCCCAGCCACCTGAGCTCTACAGTGGCACTTCAAGGCCAGCTGAGGCAGGAAAGGCTGCCAGCACACCGCGCCCCCGCACCTGCCCTCAGTCAGCCGGCCAGGATAAGGGTAACTACGTGCGGCTCAACATGAAGCAAAAACGCTACGTGAGGGGTGGGGCCCTTCGAGGCAGGCTCCTCCGAAAGCAGGTAAGACAAGCAGGGCAGGGCAGGGTGGGCATCGCCTTGACCCTTACCTGTCTTCTTCCCACATGATTCTCCCTTGTGGGTTTTTTTTTTTTTTCCGGTACTGGGAATTGAACTCACAACCTTGAGTTTGCTGGGCAGGCGCTGTGCCGCTGAGCTAAATCCCCAGCCCCTGATTCTCCCTTGTGGATCCCCCCCAGGCATGGAAGCAGAAGTGGCAGAAGAAAAGAGAGCATTTCGGGGGTGGTAGGCCCAGAGCCATGACTGAGAAGTCTTGTTTCCAGTGTGGGCAGCTTGGCCACTGGAAATCACAGTGCCCTCAGCTAGGTAGGCCTCTGCTCTGGAGAATGAGGCGGGATGATGCCATGCAATAAGGGAGTAAAAGGCGCTCCTAGCTTTCTACCCCTGGTCTAGGACCCACCCGGAACCCCCAGAAGGAAGGTGATGAGGACAAAGATGACATGCAGTCCTTTCCCGCTTTGGAGCAAACAACCCAGAGGACAGATGCTGCTTGTTGCCATCTCCCCGGTGAGTGGGGGGAGGAGGGTGACTGTGGTTCCAGGCTGGTCTTGGCTGAGATTGTGTTCCCCATGTCACCCTTTCTGGTCTGCCCCTGCAGGAAAGGACACAGAGCCTGCTGGGCCTGAGCTACAGGCACCGAACACAGTCCCCTCGGTGCTGCCTCTCTACCCACCAGGGCCCTGCGGTCAGGTAGCAGGTGAGTCTTCAAGGGGTGGGGAGATTCAGGAACTGTGATGACCAGTACCTGTGTCCACAGAGACACCAGCTGAGGTGTTCCAGGCCCTGGAGCAGCTTGGGCACAAAGCTTTCCGCCCTGGGCAGGAGCGCACAATCATGCGGATCCTGTCTGGTGAGTGGGAGGATCTGAGGGCTAGGCTGGGGAATGATGGGCCACAGAGCCTTTCAGCTGCCCCTTGTCCTGCACAGGTATCTCCACATTGCTGGTGCTGCCCACGGGCGCTGGCAAGTCCCTGTGCTACCAGCTTCCTGCACTGCTGTACGCCCAGCGCGGCCCCTGCCTCACACTGGTCATCTCTCCCCTCCTGTCTCTCATGGATGATCAGGTGTGTAAATGAGGCCCTCACCACCTGCACATGTCTAAAAACTGATGCCTGTGATATCCTTGGGCTGTTTCCTGTTCCCTGAACCCACTGAGAGCTGCAAGATACTTAGCTGGTCTCGACGTGAGAGTGACAAAGCCTGGCCTCAGCATCGACCATCCAGACCCAGGCTTATAGCTCCTCAATGCAGGATCTTCCTCCCAGGACCCAGGATCTGGTGCTTTTCCTCCTGGAGATCCTGCTGAGTGGGCAGCTCTGGGAGGATTCAGGAGAGAACTACAGCTGGGCTGGGCTGGGCTGGGCTGTGACGACACTGCCTGTGTCTGCAGCTCTCCCACCTGCCCCCATGTCTCAAGGCCGCCTGCCTCCATTCAGGCATGACCAGGAAGCAGCGGGAATCCGTCCTGCAGAAGGTCAGGGGGTGCCCCATGGACTGGGAGCAGAGGGGAGTACAACTTGAGGAGTGCTCCTGATCCTGCTACTTTCAGGTGCAGGCAGCCCAGGTGCACGTGCTGATGCTGTCCCCTGAGGCGTTGGTTGGGGCTGGTTCTGGAAGCCCTGTCCACCTCCCTCAGGCTGCCCAGCTGCCCCCAGTGGCCTTTGCCTGCATTGATGAGGCCCACTGCCTCTCTCAGTGGTCACACAACTTCCGGCCCTGCTACCTGCGAATCTGCAAAGTGAGCCACCTGGGGCCAGTGTGTGTGGGAGGGGGCAGCATGAATGGAGGGAGCAAAGCCCATGTGAGTCAAATGGCCTTCTTCCTACCACCTTCCTCCTGTTACATAGGTGCTTCGGGAGTGTATGGGTGTGCGCTGCTTCCTGGGCCTAACAGCCACAGCCACACGCAGTACTGCCCGTGATGTGGCCCACCACCTGGGAGTGGCCGAAGAACTGAGTCCCAGAGAGGCACCTGCCATCCCTGCCAACTTGTACCTGTCTGTGTCCAGAGATAGAGACCCAGACCAGGTAGGTGTGTCCACGCCAGGATGAGGGCACCCCCCCCACACCCGACACACACAGCCTGGGCCAACAGCTGCTCCTTGCCAGGCTCTGGTGACGCTGCTGCAGGGTGACCGTTTCCGTAGTCTGGATTCTGTCATTGTTTACTGTAACCGGCGTGAGGACACACACAGGGTTGCTGCACTCCTCCGAACCTGCCTATATGCAGTTCAGGACCCAAAGTTCAGAGGTGAGCACAGGCAAGGCTGGGTCTCCCAAGGACTACCCTGCACGCACGCAAGCTCCGGTCCCACCAACATCCACTTCCCCAAAGGTCGTGGCCCCACAGCTGTGGCTGAAGCTTACCATGCTGGCATGTGCAACCGGGAGCGACAGAGAGTGCAGCAGGCCTTCATGAAGGGCCAGCTACGGGTGGTGGTAGCCACGGTGGCCTTCGGGATGGGACTGGACCGACCAGATGTGCGGGCTGTGCTGCACCTGGGGCTGCCCCCAAGCTTCGAGAACTACGTCCAGGGTGTGGGGCGTGCTGGGCGTGATGGGCTGCCTGCCCACTGCCACCTCTTTCTACAGCCCCAGGTGAGTGTCTCACTGTCCCCTCCCGCTTCTCTACCGCCAGTTCTCTGGCCACACACTCATAACTGCCCTACTGCAGGGTGAGGACCTTCGAGAGTTACGCAGACATGTGCATGCAGATGGTGCTGACTTCCTGGCCGTGAAGAAGCTGATGCAGTATGTGTTCCCGCCCTGCACCTGCACCAAGCAGGAAGGGCAGGAAGGAGGCAACAGTGGGACAAGGCCTGCAGCTGAGTCCCCGCCTCCGAAGGCCAAGGAACGTGGTGGCTGCCCAGCTGCTTTTGGACAGGGTCGGGCCTGCCCAGGACATGAGCGGGCACTCCCAGTGCAGCCAACAGTGCAGGCCCTGGACATGCCAGAAGAGGGTGAGGGCCAGAGGATGTGGGGTGTGTGGAGAGGCTACTCCTGCACCCCCTGACCCCCAACTCTTCTCTTCAGCCATTGAGACTCTGCTGTGCTACCTGGAGCTTCACCCACAGCACTGGCTTGAGCTGCTGCCAGCCACCTACGCCCACTGCCGTCTATACTGCCCTGGGGGCACCAACCAGCTCCAGGCCCTGGCCCACAGGTAAGCATTTCCCACCTTAGGTTGGGGGTAGGGAAAAAGGACCAGCGCTGTTGGCCACATGTCCCTTTCCCCTGGGTACAGGTGTCTGCCTGTGGCTGCATGCTGGGCCCGGTGGCCACCCGAGAACACAAGCCAGGGCAGCTGCTCCATGGAGTTCAACGTGGTGGAGCTGGTGGATTCGATGGGCTGGGAGTTGCCCCCGGTGCGGCGGGCTCTCCACCAGCTGCAGTGGGACCGAGAGTCTAGAACAGGTGTGCCCACCTCTGCCCTACCCTAGGTTCTGTTTCCCATCTGGTCCCTGTGACTGATATACTTCCTGACAGGTGTGCTGCAGAGAACTGGAGTGCTTGTGGAGTTTGGGGAACTGGCCTTCCACCTGCGCAGTCCCGGGGACTTGACAGCTGAGGAGAGAGACCAGGTCTGCGACTTTCTGTATAGCTGTGTGCAGACCCGTGAGCGCAAGGCCCTGGCCCATCTGCGCCGAATGTTCCAGGCTTTTCACAGGTGGGGAGGAGGGGGGCAAAGTCTGGGGCCACCCACCTGGCCCCATAGGTATCTCTGATATGCCCGTCCTGCTCCAGCGTGGCCTTCCCCAGCTGCGGGCCCTGCCTAGAGCAGCCTGATGAGGAGCACAGTGCCCAGCTGAAGGCCCTGCTCAACCACTATTTTGAGGAGGAAGAAGAGGAAGAGGAGGAGGAGGAGGAGGAGGAGGGGGATGTGAAGGACAAGCAGAGCCCAGAGCCTGGGCAGGCCCAGGTGAGTGCCACCCCTCTGAGGGTGGTCCCTAGGGAAGACAACCTTTATACACACACCTGACACCCACTGTGTGGGCCCCATCCAGCCTGACTCAAGGTTTCCTGGGTAGGCCTGGGGCTGGGCTGTGTGGGACATGGCACTGTGGACATGCCAAGTCTGATGTGCCCGCTCACCCACAGCTCCAGGACTGGGAGGACCAGGTCCGCCATGACATCCGCCAGCTCCTGTCCCTGAGGCCAGAGGAGAGGTTCTCAGGCAGGGCTGTCGCCCGAATCTTCCATGGCATCGGTGAGGGTCCCTGGGACTGGCTGAGGCAAGCAGGGAGCCAGGGGCTGGAAGCAGTCCAGAGTCTTCAGGCCTGTGTCTCTGCCCCACTGTAGGAAGCCCCTGCTACCCAGCCCAGGTATATGGGCGAGACCAGCGCTTTTGGAGAAAGTACCTGCATCTGAACTTCCATGCCCTGATGCGCCTGGCCACAGAGGAGCTCCTGTTGGCAGGCCCATGACTACCCTCCTAGGAAGGTGCTTCCCCACAGGGAGACACTAGGCTGGGCCATGTCATCATAGTGGTCCCAACTGTGCAGAAACAAGGAGGCTGTATGTACAGATAAATGTGTTCAAGTCATTTTATGGGCTCTGCTTTCAAAGGAGGCTACTGTCAGCCTCAAGACCACTGCATCTCATATATTCGACACAGGCATTAGCCATGGGCATACTTGACAGTCCTGCTGCTCAGCTCAGCCCAAGGTGCTAGGTGCTAGGTTCAGGTCCAGAAGGGGCAGGGCTGAGAGTGCAAGAAAGATGCCAAAGCAGGGATTTGGACCCAGGCCATCGGCCAGCACTCCAGCCAGGGTGCCCGACAACAGCTTGCCCAACAGCTCCAGCGTGGCCATGAGGCTGTAGTGTGTGGCCTGGGGGTTGAGGTGGGGGGTCAGGGTCTACTGGCTCTACCAGCCCCGCAGCCTCTGGGTGTCTACCACATCCCCTCACCTGTAGGGCTCTGGGTGCCAGCTGGCTGCAGTGCATCATCACAGTGAAGGTGGTGGTGGTGACCAGGCCCCCCAGGAAGTGCTGCAGACACAGACTCAGCAAGGCCGCTCCTGGGAGGGCAGAGGTCAGCAGGGCCCAGGCCTCCGGGCCCCTCCCTCCCCCAGGCCCGCCCCTCACCTCTCAGCACAGTGCCAGGGCCCCAACTGGCCCCTGCAGTGTCCAGGTGGAACAGCAGGGCAGTTTGGCAGGCCAGGCCTCCTAGGCGAAGTCGCAGCACTAACCTCAGCAAAGGCAGCAGCTGCCTGGGGTGGGAGTGGGGAGATGGCACGTCAGAGGATTCCAGATAGTGCCAAGGATGAAGGGAGAGGGGCTGGGCTGGGGAAGGCTTACCAGTGCCTGGTCAGTAGGGCCCCGCCCAAGGAGGAGCCAGCAATGGAGAAGGCCATTGTACCCACGCCACTCCACAGCCCCAGCTCAGAGGCAGAAGCACCGTGGTCCAACAGGAGGAGTGGAAACAGGCTGCTGGCACCTTGCTCACCTGCAGGAAACTATGAGCAGGGGTCGTCCCCATACCATCCCTGCCTCCCCTCTCCCCACGCTGAGGGCTCAGTTGTGCCAAGCCCCTGCCCTGCCCCCACCTCCCTGAGCCACAGATGCAGAGTCCATGACCAGCATAAAGCAATACCTGAACAACCCAAAGGGCTCTGGCTGAAGCTGAGAGAAGACAAGAGGCAGCAGCAGGTGGCAGAGCCCTCCTCACTGGGGCTGGGCCCCAGCTGGCCGATCATACCCCAGAAGGGGTGATACCCTAAGTGGGTTCCAGAGCTCCTGGGGCCCCAGCGATTCCGTAGCCTGACACAAGCCCTCACTCACCCAGCTTGTAGGTGAGCACAAAGCCTGCTGTCCACAGGGTCCCAGGCACAGCCAGCAAATCCTGCAGATGGCGTGGAGTATGCTCTGAGGGTTGAGGCCAGGGCAGCTGTTGCAGGGCCGGTGCAGCCCAGGCCAGGGCAGCGGCTAGCCAGTAGGTGGCAGCCAGGAGTAGGAAGAGCGGTGGCCAAGAGAGACTGGGCAAGAGGGCCAGCAGCCCGCCCCCAGCCAGCGCTGATCCCAGCTTGTAGGCGACCACCTGCACAGTGTTGCCGGGTCCCAACTCGGCTGGCTCCAGGAGCTGCATGGCCAGTGTGTCCAGGGCCACATCCTGCACAGCCGCGCCCAAGTTCAGTAGTAGTAGCAGGCCCACCACGCTGGCAGGCAGCCCGGCCTGGCCAGAAGGGGCGGGAGGCAGCGCGGCTAGCAGCACACACACCAGGCCCAGCGCCGCTGTGCTGAGCGCCAGCCAGGCCCGCGGGGAGCCCCGCCTGTCTACCAGCGGTGCCCATGCCAGCTTGAAGAGCCACGGTGCATACAGCCCTTTGGTCAGCCCCACGCGCGCGAGGGAGAGGCCGCGGGCCCGCATCAGGAGAGGCAGCAGGCCAGACTGCAGCCCATAAGGTAGGCCCTGCACCAGGTAGAGACCGGCCAGTGACAGCAGCTTCGCGTGCATGGCCAGCGTCAGGCAGTGCGGGCTCTATGATGGGGTGCGAGTCCATCCGCACGGGGTCACGGCTGGACCGCTGGTGGACGACTCGCGTGTTCTAGTACTGCTGGTGTCAACGCCCCGAAAGAGCCGAGGCTAGGGACAAACTGAAGGGCGGACCACCGTGCTCTGCCAGACAGTCGCTGTAGGTCCCGGCGTCTTCACCCCTGGCGGAGCTCAGTTCTCCAGAGTCCGGAATCGAAAGAGTCAGCCCGGGAGATCTTCGCGCATGCGCCCTAGGCCGGAGGGGGGGCACGAGGATCACTGAGTAGCTGGCGGGCCTAGAGCGTTGCATCGCCAGCTCTCGAGCGCCCCCTGGCACGGACAGCCAACAGCCTTTGGGGACAGAGATGGCTGGTATCTAACATGGAAATCGCGCACCCGCTTGCTCAAGGGTCGGGCTTCCCACCCCTGGGCTCTCAGACTTGCACAGGCCTGCTTTCTGGTGTCCAGCCCCCGTGGAAGAGTCAGCCTGTCTACTCATGGGCCCTCCCCGCTCTGTGCTGTATGTATGGCTTCAGACTCCTCCCCAAGGCAGTGTAAGGGAAGGGGGAAGAAGGGCATGTGGGAAGGATTCAGCCAGGGGGACACAGCCACTGCCCACTGACGCCCCCCGTGCCTGCTCAGTCAGGACCTGCCCTGCCAGGGATGCCCTTGTGTACCCCTTTTGCCCAGCGCTGTGATCTCAGAAGACCCCAAGACCAGGATGGGGCTGTGAGGTGAGGCCTTGGGTTAAAAACTGAGGTATCTTGAATGGTGAAGGATACTTGGCCAGCTGTGTCGCTGCAGGAAGAGATCCAGCACAATTCCTGGCTGCTGAGCCACCTTGAGAGGGTGTCCTGTCACTTCCACATATTTTCCTGGCCAAGTTTTCTCATGCATAAGATACGGATTTCCCTATCTACCGCAGAGGAACACTGCAGTTGGAATGCACCAAGCAGACACTCATCCCTGTGTTTTGGGGGCAAAGATGATGGGTCCTCCCCTGAGATGCTCTTCTCTCAGTCCTCTCCAAACCTCCCAGCCAGAGGGGTGCATTTGCCGAACTCCCCCTGCTCCTGCCCACACCCAGCTGGGCAGGGTGTCTCATGTCCACTGTCACTCCCAATGTGGTGGTCACCCCATCCAGCCAGCTGCCTCCTGCAGTGAGCACAGGAAGGGTTAGGATGAGGAATGCATCTTCCTCTGTCTTCCTCAGGGAGGCAAGCTGTTCCTGGTGTGCGCCTCTGGGACCCATGCCTCTGTGATTCACTGCCAAGCCTCCTTTCCCTGAGGCTCTGCTGACCCAGGAGCCCGCCTTCACATTCCTTATTGATAAGATCACCTGATTTTTTTCATTTTTCTTTTTTCCCCAGTGCTAGAGGATTGAACCTGGGAACCTACATCCCCAGCCCTTCAGATTTTTTTTTTTTTTTTTTTTTTTTTTTTTTTTTTTTTTTGCATGGAAATTGAACTCAGAACCTCACACTTGCCAGGCAGGCGCTGTGCCACTGAGTTATATCCCTGGCCTCTTCTGATTTCTATGAGAATCATCGGTGTCTATAAACCACAGCCCAGGAAGGCAGTGTGTCTTGGACTAACAGGTAGACCCCAGCTGTGAAAGCCCCTTTGTGGGAATCCTCTCTGGCCACTCCTCCTGAAGGGTGGGCCTGGTGTTCCTCAGGCAGGGTGGACCACGCAGCAGTACACAGTCTCGAGTCAGACTGGCACCCGGCTTTATTTGAGAGCTGCAAAAGCAGGCATTCAGTCCCTCATGGGGGCAGCAGTAACTCCCAAGGGCTCCAGAGACCTCTAGGTCCCTGGGCACAGTCAGTCTGCAGTGGCCCAGCTTGGCTCCTGGAGCTGCCTTAGGAATACTCGAGGGTGAACTTGGCATGGAAACGGCGCAGCTTCTCCAACAGCACCCGCAGCTTCTCCATCGGGGGCAGAATGGTCATTCTGAAAGAGGTGGGTGATAAGCCAAAGGGCAAGGGCACGGGCTGGGCTCGAGGAGAGGTTGTGCAGATTGGGCCTCACCGGAAGTGGTAGGTGCCTTCTCGTTGTCCAAAGCCACTCCCGGGCACCACACAGATGCCGGTCTCCTCCAGAAGGCGCATGCAGAAGAACATATCCGGGGCCACACCAAGCTCCTGGTATTGTAAAGGGCAGTCAAGGTGCCGTGCTCACCCTAGTGCTCACCCTAGTGCTCACCCTACCCCAGGCTGACTCGCCAGCCCACCAGACCTGAGCACGATGTACTGCGCCTGGAGGCAGCTGCACGCGTGGGAAGGAGTACATAGCGCCCTGCACTGGGTTACAGTGGATCCCCGGAGCCTCATTGAAGACCTGCTCGGTGAGCTTGGCTTTGGCAGCCAGCTCAGCCAGCACTTCCTGCCTCTCCTGTGGCCAAGGGAGGGGGTGATCAGGAAGGCGGAGGGCGCTGCAGCCCCAAGCCCACTTCTGGGCGGCCGGACACCACAGCCCCACCGCTCACCGCCTGAAACTGCGCGAAGGAGGGGTCAGAGGGCGCAGGTGGGTTGACCACCATGTCCATCAGGGCCTGGCCGGGCACTGGCGGGCACAGCCGCACGCTCATCAGTTTTAACATCTGCCGCTGCACCTCAGGGTCCATGTTTACCACCTCTACGTAGCCGCCACGGAACCCACACCTATGGGCGAGGGTGGGTGTCGAAATCGAGGGCGGTGGTGTGGTCTGAGAGCACCACCTCCCCCACCCCCGGGCCTGCATGCACGCACTCGCCCATGTAGCCCTTGGAGACTGAGTGGAAGGAAGCGAGCTCCTGCTGCTCTGCGTACGGCGAGCCCATCTCCGTGAGCACCTTCTTAAATGAGTGGAAGTGAGAGCCCTCGGCGTACACATTGTCCTGGTAGACCTGCGGAGCAGCGGCATCACACGGGCCGGTTGCGTGCGGCCCAGCTGCCTGCTCCCTCCCGCGCCCCTGCCCGCACCTCGTCAGCCATCAGAAAAAGCCCCTCTTCAAAGGCGAAGCGGATCACTGCCTCGATGCACTCCCGGGTCTGCACCTGCCCTGAAGCGCAGGAACAGCCGGCACTTGGTGAGGGGGGCCTGGGCCCCGGGAGAGGAGGGGCGGAGGAGGGAGGGGGCGGACGGGGCGGGGCGGGGCTTACCAGTGGGATTGCCCGGGTTGATGACACAGAGCACTCGCGGGCGGCAGTGGTCACGTGCCTGGCGCAGCGCACGCCGCAGTTCAGCCACGTCCAGTGCCCAGGCGTGCTCTTCATCCAGGTAGTAGTCCACCTGCACGGCATCCAACTCAGCCAGCGTGGCCGAGTAGAGCGGGTACTGGGGGATGGGGATGAGCACTCCGGTACGCGTGCGGCCCTCGCCGGCCACCAGCAGCTTCAGCACGGTCTGTGGGTGAGGAGCAGCACGATGCCTGTGCGGCCGGGGGCTGCACCCCTCCCGTGTTAAACCCCTGTGTCCTCTGCCCGGTCCCGGCCTACCACAATGGCACTGCTGGCCCCGGTGGACAGGAAGATGTTGTTGGGGTCTGCTGGGATGCCGCCGTCGCGGCTCTCAATGTAGTGCGCCACATCCTCGCGGATCAGCTGGATGCCAGAGCTGATGCTATAGGCCCCTGGACGCGGGCCAAGCAGAGCAGAGAGCAGGCCCGCGAGGGTGATAAGTCCCCCTGCGTCCCTCCCAAGAGGCACACCCCACTCTGCTCCCTGGGGCTTGAGCCTGCCTGCCGCCAGTACTCACCCAGGCTGTGGCCCCCACATGCCTGCAGTATGCGCTGGGCCCTTCTCTTGGCATCCTCTGGGAAGTCAGGACTGCTCAGGAGATCCGGGTAGACGCAGAGGGCCAGGACCTGGGAAGAGTGAGAGCTGAGGCCAAGGGACATGGGTTAAGGAGGCATTACAGGCAGTGCAGGAGTTTTACCTGGCGCAGGAAGGTGATGGGCCTCTGCCCCATGGCCTGTGCATCCCCAATGTTGGCACGGATGACCTCAGTAAAAGGTTTCTTCACACCCTGGAAGGGAAGGGGAGCAGGCAATGAGACTGGGCAGTCACTCTGCAGCCCGTCTCATGTGCCACTAGGATCCAGCAGGCGGGGGGCCCAGGTCACACCTGGCGTAGCTCCTGTTCCAACTCCAGTGCGCGAAGCACTATGGGGCCCCGAACTGCATATTCCACTCTCCGAACACATGGGTTCATGGTGTCCAGTGTCAGCACCTTCTCCTTCAGCCCATTCCTTGCTGCCTGGCTCTTGTCACCTGCTCGCAAGGCCATGACTCTGCTCAGACCAGGTAGGAAAGTGGCTCAGGAGGCAGCAGGTCCAGAAACGAGGGTGGGGACAGCAGAACCCAGGATCATGGAATCAGGGCTAGACAGGAGAGCCTGAGTAGAGGGCACCTTCTTCACTGCAGGCTGTTGGCCCCACTGAAAGGGACAGAAAGCACTGAGGAGCTAGAGCTGCCTGGGCCCCGCCCCAGTCTGGGCACAGTTCTGCCCCAGGGAGCCAGAGGGAGTGGGTGAGGTGGCAGGCGGGACTTGGGGCAAGGCCCAGTGTCCCCATGACAGGGAGCAGGAGACCCAGGCGGGGGGTAAGGACAGACGCACCAGGTACTGGGGGAGGGAAGGGCTCAGCACCCGGGCCTAGTGGACTTGAGGGGTTGGCAGAGCTAAGCAGGGATGACCAGTGTGACACCAAAGGTGAGACCGGAGCCAAGGGCCGCTGCGGATTTACTCTAGCAGGGCGCTGCTGAGACCTACCCTTCTCAGCAACCCCATCTTTACTTGGGCCAGCAGACCTGTCACCTTGGTAACTGGGCCAGGCCTTTGGAATGGGTGGGGGATGGGCTCCCACTGGGTTCCACTAGCCAGTGGTCATGGCCTGGAGGCTGCAAAAGCACTGCGGTTGGACCTTGGCCCCTAATCAACACCGCAAGATGCAAGGGGGAGGGGGAGAAGGCTGGATATGGGGCAAGCCATATCCTGGACCCTCGGACACCTCGCCCTGGGCTGCTCTGACCTGCCCTCATGCCCTTCCACAGGTCAGCCTGGGGTTGTCCTTGGAGCCACACCCAAGGCCTAGGGTAATCTAACTCTCCTCCCCTCTTGCTCCTGATTGGTGGAAAGAAAAAGAAATGAGCCTCTATAGGCTCTCACAGCCCCACCCCCACAGGCCCGGAAGGGACCGCGATAGGCCATGCTCAGAATTGGCCCACCCAGGCCTCCATGCTGGCTGGCATCAAGGCCTATGTGACCAAGGGTCAGGGAACCAGCCCGCTGAGTTCAGCAGTTGGCAGCTGGTCAGACCCAAGGGTAGCCTTGCTCTTCTGCTTCTGCAGACTCAGAGAAGCCACCAGGAACGCTGGGTAGGATTCACACTCACAAACACACATTTCTCTCACCTTAGACCTCTCTTCTCTACTGCCACAATGACCTCCGGCTCACAGGCCAGAGGACAGGTCTTTATGGACCCAGCCTCAGGCAGAGCTAGCCACTGCCCGCCCCCTGGCAGCAGGGCCCATGTGGCAGCTGTAGTAGCAGGTGGACCTTCAGCAGCTATACCACCCCACTCACTAAATTTAACCAGCAGCCAGCCCCTGGCCCTTCCCCAACGCGGCTAAGGACACCAGCCCTCTAACAACAGATGCTAGAGGGAGGGAGGGCCCAGGAGACATGGGGTTGACAAGGTTGGTGCCCAGCAAGGAGAGGGTGGCCCAAACTTACCCAGCCCTGGTGGCCAACCAAGTCTGCCTGCCATGGACAGATGATTGGCTAACACCCTCAGCCCTCCAGCTTGAGGCCCCTAAGGGGCCCCTCTCACCCTGCAGCACTGTGCCCAGCCAGCTCAGTGTGAGTGGCCAACTACTTGTCACCTATACCAGCCCAGACCAAAGCTGGCAGTCAGGCCCAGGATCAGGGCTGCATGCCAGGAACGGCCAGGAAATGTCTGATGCCAGCCTTGTGCCTTTTTTGCCCCACTGGCTCTGGCCCAGGAGTCCTGTGGAAAACACTACTTCCCTTTCCAGGCCAGAGTCCTGGCCTCATAGGACCTCCTGACAAAGCATCCTGCTGTCCTCAGGGAAGCAAAGAGTTACAGAGGAGCCTCCAGGAGGTTGAACCTGGCAAATGAGGGTGTGGGTAAAGGCAAGGCTTCTTGCACAGTGTGGCCTCCCACATATGCAAGCCCCGGCGCGCACCTACAGGCCTGGGTGCTTGTGGGCATGGGTGGCACCTGACGCAGCCACAGTCTGCCCCTCCCCAGCTGAGACACACGGGAAGATTTGGTGGCAAACAGCCCTTTATCAAGAGTCACAGGATAAAGTCTTTGCAGCTGATGTTGCAGTATGGCTCTGCCACAGGTCCATCCCTGAGAAAGGGCCAGTGTCCTGGGAGGGGGAAGCTGGAGAGACTCTACGCTAGCTGCCTGCCTGCAGTATCAGGGCATACACTCTGGCTGGGCCTGGGGATGGGCCCCTGCCACCTTGAGCACTGGCCCTCACATGAGGAGGCAGCAGGGCCTCTTTTCCACATGAGCTTCCTCCGAGGGGGCTGTGAGCTTGAGCAGGGGTGGGTCCCCGCCTGCCCTGGAGCCACAGCCTGGATGGGAGGTCTCAGTATCAGTAGGCAGGCTAGGCTCAGGGGCCTCAGGGCCCTCAGGTGACAGTCGCAGAAGCTTGGCGGCAGCTCGCTGGCGCTTGAGATCTGCCAGGGTTTGGTGGGCCTTGTCCCGGACCAGGTCGTTGGGAGCCACGCTCTCCAGTGGACTCAACTGGTAGGAAACACTCCGGTCCAGCCGCTTGGAGTACAGGTGCCGCCCTGGGGGACCCTCTACCCGGCCATTGTGTGACCTGGCCACGTTGGGGTCATCTTCCTGTAGACAGAACCAGGGCCCCAGAAGACATCAGGAAGTACCCCCTTTCGCCTGCCCTGGCCTTGGGCTCTAGGCTGTGAGTTTGGGGAGGGACAGACACAAGGGGTGGGGGTTGCAGCACATCCAGGAGAGCAGGATCCTGGTCCTACCACCTCCACAAGGAGACTGGTGCTGATGGAAATAGAGGCATTAAAGGCAAGTCCCGTGCCAGCGTCACCTGCCAAGGCCATTTAAAAGATTCTGGCTCCTTGGTGTGGTGGCGTATGCCTGTAATTGCAGCACTGGGGAGGCTGAGGCAAGAAGACTGCCGCAAATTCGAGGCCAGCCTGGACTACATAGTTCAAGGCCAGCCTAAACTGAATAGTGAGACCCTGTCTCAAAAAACAAAAAAAATCAACCAAACAATAAAAAAGAAAAATCAAGGCAGTGTATGGACTGGTTCTCACCTCTGGGGGTGGAAGCCGGAGCTCAGCGTCTGTCTGACGGTCTTCGTCATCCTCCAGCGGCTCTGAGCTGGTGGGCGATGGCTGTTGCCATACGATGGCCTCCTGGGCGTGCTCCTTGCGGTACAGGTTGGTGCGCTGGGTCAGGCTCACCCGTCTCACCACCTTCCTGGGGGAGGCGAAGGGACAGGATGGTGAAGGGACTCTGCCTAGAGTTCTGTGGTTGGCTCCTGCTGGATGACAGCTGGGGGCAAAGGGTCAGGCAGTGTTCTGGTAGCTGGCTCACCCTCGGCTGCCTGCACTAGAAGTGCGGCGGCGCAGGAGGGAGCGTTGGCGACCCTGGCCTCGCAGGAGTGCATCATGCTTGTGCTTCAGCTCCAGCAGCTTGGCCCGCACCTCCTCATCCCCACACACATCTGAGGAAAGGTGGGCACAGGTGTCACGAGCGCCCTTACCACCAGCCCCCTCCCCTCAGTGGAGGCTGCCTCATGTGCTCACCCAGGGGCGTCTCATCCATCAGGGACTTGCCATTCAGATCAGCCCCATGGGCCACAAGCAGCTCCGCCAAATGCACCTGTGGGCCAGTCAGCCAGGGCTGTACAGTGCTTTCGCTAGAGGCAGGAGCCCCTGCCCACCTGCTTCTGCCCAAGCTCACCTGGCCCCAGTAGGCTGCAGCATGCAGTGGCTCCCAGCCATCTCGGTCCTTGGCGCTCAGGCTGGCTCCATGCTCCAACAGCAGCGCAGCTGCCTCGCCGAACCCATTGGCGGCAGCGATGTGCAGCTGCAGGGCAAGCCACGCATCCCTGAATCCTGACCCTATGTCCCTCTGGCGGCATGCCCCCCAGTCCCATGGCAGACCCTCTAAGATGGCCCAGGATCCTCACCAGTGTGGCTCCATGGTCCAGGGGGTCATTGAGGTCAGCCCCAGTACGCAGCAGGCTCTGGAGGTCATCCAGCATGCGCAGCTCTGGCACTGCACGGGCTTGTTCAATGCTATCCTGGGTGATGCCTGTGGGGCAGCAGGCTCAGAGAGAGCACATCCGGGGCCCACCTCATGGACAGTCATGGCATACTCACCTTGGCTGGCCATGGCGGTCTCCAGGCAGTCCAGTGTCTGTTCATCTTCACACAGGTCATAGGGCATGTTTCCATCAGTGTTAACTGCCAGGAGGTCTGCCCCACTGCAGGGAGGACAGATAAGACCCTAGGCTCAGGACCCTTCTTCACACACCACAGTTCTCACTCAGGGAGCCCCCTACTCCCTTTTAGGAGGTCCTCTTGAGGCCTTCAGCCTAGGACTGCCTGAGGAAATGTAGGCTGGGACAGGTGGCCTCTGCTCCATGTGGCCACCCCTTGGCCCTTGACCCTGTCCCTAAGCCAGAGTGGCCATCTTGCAGTCTCCCCATCTACCCCCATAAATACAATGGGTATACCTGCAGGTGTGCAAAGATTCTGCTGAAGCCCCAGAGAGCAGGGAAAGCAGGCCAAGGTTGGCGGGGAGCACAGAACACAGAGGGGGACCCCATGTACCATGGAGGAAGAGGGCCAAGGGATGCCTGGGGCTTACAGCCCACCTGCAGCCCATCCAGTGCTCCCAGGGAAGCCCCAGGATCCTGCTAGTGGCACCCTCACCATGCCAAGGAGGCACTGCTATGTGATGGGAACAATCCTGAGAAGCGTGGAATTGGGGAGAGGAAGCAGAGGCCCCTGAATCTGGTGTAGTCACCAGCTTCGCTTGCTCACCCTTCATCCTCGCCTTTGCGCAGGCATCCCCCATCCTAGCCCACCTGGTCCCGTTGCTCCCCTTTTCCCTACCAATTCTACCCTCAGCACTGCCGGCACAGAAACCCCTTACGGAGCCAGGGATACAGCTCAGTGGCACAGCACTTGCCTGGCAAGCACAGGTCCTGAGTTTGATTCCTGTTACCCGCCCCCCGCGGCCAAAATAAAAAATATAGGGGAAAAAAAAGAAGCCCATCAGGCTAGAGTTGGGGGTCCACGCTGCCAGGCAGGCCCAAGACCATACTGAGCACACATTCTTTCCCCAGAAGCACAGCAAGGTCAGCAGAGGAGGTGAAGACACAAAAGTCGGGCCTGGGGGAGCTATGCAAAGGAGCCACTTGCGCTGCCATTGGTAAGACCCTCCCTATCAGAGGACCAGTGGGTCATACCAGGAGATGAGGAGCTCCACCAGGTGCAAGTGACCACAAGTGGCTGCAGCATGCAGAGGCGTCCAGCACTCACTGTCTCGGGCATTGACGTCAGCCCCGGCCTCCAGGAGCTGTTGCACCATCTCTTGGAAGTCATCTATGCAGCACTGCAAACAAGCACCCTGAGCGGCCTGAGCCCCAGCCAGCCCGACCACCCCCAACACCACCTACAGGCTGACCTGGTGCAGTGCTGTCAGGCCATCCTCATTGGCCAGATCAGGGCTGACCCCATTCCTGAGGAACTGGCAGACTGCAAGAAGTGGGAAGTGAGGTTGGGGCAAAGCCTGTGACTCTTGTGCTGCTGTCCAGGGGTGAGGAAGGATGGTACAGATGGCAGCAGGTATACAGGCTCAGGAGCACAGGGCATCTGTCTGCCTCCCATGCGGGCCAGAGGCACAGCAGCCCCTACCTTCCCGCACCACGGCCCCAACTGCTCAGGCCCCAGAACATTCCCTCCCCTCATAGCTGCTACAGCCTAGGGCAGTGGTGGTGAACCTATGGCATGTGTGCCATAGAGGGCTATTTGTGTCATTGAAAGCTCTAGCCTAGAGTGTCGGCACAGGAGGCAGCAGCTCTCTAAATACTCTGCCCAGCCCCAGCACAAGAACCATCTGCACCCTCCACTCCCCCCGGGTTACCAGCTATACCTCACTAGCAGTGAGGCACTCACTGCTCTTCAGAGGCAGTGCCCACTGAAGCAGTGCCCACAGAAGCAGTGCCCACTCACTCCTCTTCAGAGGTCCCCACTTAGGTCTAGGCTCTTGCCATTGTCACTGGGGTCCTTCCCAGCTATGCAGGAGGGCAGGCCCTCCTCCCACAGTGCCCTCTGCACCCTTCTACACTCTAAGCCTCTCAGGAGGCTCCTGTCCAGGCACTAGCACTCCTCCTGAGGGCCCCACTGGACACAGAAAGGCCCTCAAAAGACACCAAGGTGCCTCTTCCCCTAGGCCTCAGAGCCCTGCACACAGTGGGGCTGCAAGCACAGGGACTGGAGGAGCAATAGGCAGCTGAAAGGCCAGGCCTGTCTCAGGCTAAAAGGTTCTGATGGAGAGGAAGGCACCAAAGGCAAGGCCTAGGACTGTGTGGACAGAGGTCGTCTGTGCACCCTGGATGCCGGCCACCTTGTGGAGGTGGGGACTCAGCACCCACACAAGCAGGGACCAGGACTTAGGCAGCCTCACACACAGGCCAAATGCAGTGAGGGCTATCAGCCAGCACTGGGTACTTCTGCAGGCCTCTACCTCTCAGCACGACCTTCCATATGTGGCCCTGCTGAAGGACAGCTGTCCCGCCACAAGCGCTCCTAAGGGGGTGGGACTCAGTGGTCCCCTGGGGCCAGAGCCAGGTCCAACCCAGGGGTTGGAGCTCAGGAGCTGTGAACAACCTAGCCCAGCCCGAAGCCCCAACACAAGACAAGGCCACACCCAGGAGACAGGAGTACCCACTCTATGCTCCCTGAGATTAAATATACTCACCTTCCTCGAGGTCATTTCGGGCAGCAGCTTCTAGAAGGGCAATGCTGGGAAGGAAGAGGACCTTTTTCTGTGGCCTTTGGTCGGCTGCCTCCTTCCGTGGCTGCTCCCCGTGGACCTTCTTACCCTGAGCCTCCTTCTCAGCCTGGGCCCACAGCTTCACCTGCTGGGCACGTCGTTTCTGGGCGTGCTTCAGCCGCTCCTGAGTGCTCATCCTGCCCACCATAGGCATCTCTGCCAGCAGCTCCAGGTGCTCGGCCATGATGGTAGGTGTCTGCCCACAGGGCTACTTGGGGCACCACAATGGGGGGTTTGGGAGCCAGGCTGGGCCTGAGGGGCGGGGCAGCTGGCTGAACAGGCACCCTCGGGTGCATCCCCTTCCTAAGGGTTGGTGCCCTCTGCCCCTGGCAAGGCTGGGTCAAGAGGCAAGGACAGCGTAGGGGGCACCCACAGCACTCCCAGGCAGGCCTAGCCCCTCAGCTGCTCGGCCGGCAGGGCCTCACCTCCCTGTGGGGTCAGGGTGCACAACCTGTGGGAAGCAGCCCTAAGACCCAACCGGACTCAGTCCAGGGTTTGAAGCTAATTACCCAGATAACAAAGTTCCAACTTCCTGGCACCTTGCCGAGAGGCAGAGGGGGCAAGACCCATCAGCAGCACGCCCCTGGGAGCCCCTAGGAGCTCTCCCTCCGGGGCTCAGGAGCCTAGGTGGGGCCTGGAGCAGCCATGGCCAGCCCTGCCTACCCCTTCCTGCCGGCCTTCCCGTCAGTGCATCAGCACTGAGAAGGTGCAGCCGCAGAGACCAGGGCAGGGTGTGTGCTCAGTCCGAGAGTCCTGGTTCCCAGTGTCCAGGGGTGAGGATCTATAGGCAGCCAGGGCACAGAGGGCACGGAGGAGCTTCCCCTTCCGGCAGCTGCACACACCTAGGGAGCAAATAAGGAAGCACACTGGGGCCAGCTCATAGGGCGAGGCAACAGGCTCAGGTGCAACCAGGCTCCCTGCCATCTTAGGGTCCTATGGGGCCCTCTCTCTGTATAGAGCACGCCGCAGGGCAACAGTCCTGGGGGGTCTGCTCTGCCCCACACCACCAGGAAAGGGCAGGACCAGGGAAGGGCAGGACCTTGGGCTTCCCATCAACCTTTCCAGAAAGGGCTGCACAGCTGGGCCCTCAGGACCAAAAGGACAGCTCCCAGCCAGGCTGTCCCCATAGGGCTGCCCCAGAGCCAGGCACTGCCCCCAGGCTGGGCAGGCCAAGGCCTCCTTCCAGGGCTCAGCTGGGATGGCTCAAGGGTAATCAGGCCCTGCCTCCTAGGCCTTGGCCTGTCCTGACCTGCACGCTGGCCCCTTACCACCCAGCTTCCAGTCAGCCAATTTTTCAGCCATCTTGAGTTGTACTAGGAGCCAGGGTCATGTAGAAACAGACACAGGTGGCCCAGCCCAACCGACATGCCCACCCTGGCCACAGTCCTGCCTCATACCCTCATGCTGTCAATGAGCTCTTTACAGGCCCAGATGCTATTACTGGGCTCCTTATGGGGCCGGCCACACTGCCTGAAGGACACCTGCCTCTAGTCCCATTCCTCATAGGGCTAGACCTTGCTACCCTCTAGAGGCCAGCTTACCTTTCCTCAAGCCAGCCAGGCTGGTGCATAGGCATCTCAATAAACACTCCCTTCTGCCAGGCCAGGTCGCATCAGGCCCGAAGGTGGTCCCTCCTGAGACCTGGAGCCACACTTCACAGGTCTAACTGGCTAGACTCAGCCCCTTGTAAGCTGGTCTGAGGATCCCTGGGATGACACCACCAAAGCCCCCAGCCCCAGCATGGTGTGTGTTCTGCAGGTCAAGAGCTTTCTCAGCAGCACTCTGCCTCTGAGCAGTCTGCTCCTGAGGTTGGCTACCTCTGCAGATCACTGTAGGCATGAGACAGCCCAATGCCCTCCAGGGCTCCTAAATTCTGCTGGCACCTTTAGACCACAGCATCCCCACCCAAGACAAGCAAGCTGTACCCTGCAGGCACTCTGCCAGCTCCTCTTGTGTAAGGACAGACCCGGCCATGTGGCAGAGCCCTGCCTCTCTGCTGCCACCTGCAGTAGAGACCCTCTTCCCTACGGGGCTGGTGAGGTGGGACCCAAAGCTCTGGCTTTAGTACTCTGCCATCAAAGCAGCCCACAGCCCTCTCCAAGAGATCACAGCGAAGAGCGAGGCACACTGCCCCTCCCTGCCTCATCTCCGGCCACAGGAAGGAAAAAGACTTCAGAGACATCACCCTTACCCCATCATCTGATATAAAGACAGTCTTATGCTCTGTCCTACAGAAGAGAAACAAACTTAGGATGGCGGATACTTTTCAAATGGAAGACATGTTGGCTTTTGACCTCCTCACTAGGAGCATCAAAGGGCTTGTAGTATAGCCGTGCTGGTTGCAATGGGAAGAGTGAACTCCAGCAGGGGCTACCAAGCCACATGGAGTCTGTCCTCCCCTGGGGTTCACCTCCACCCTCTGTGGGACCTCAAGTGGGCCCTTGCCCCACTGACGGATTCCTCTAAGAGAAAAGGAGGTAGCCAGGGAGGCTGGGGGTTGCAGGCTCACAGTGCAAGCCCCCCCTACCCTGCATGGACTCAGGCTCCCTACCTCAGGCAGTTCTCCTTCCAGGTGCCCAGAAACCTCCTCCCTCTTGTGAGTCCTGAGTCCAGCCCCTTAGCTCCCTCCAGTATTGCCTGGTCTCTCTGCAGCAGCCAGCCTTAGAAGGGATGGGCCAGCCGAAGACCAATAGCAGCAAGTCTGAGGTTTCATAAGGAAAGGCCACCTCCTGCCTACCTGGATTTTGGCTGCCCCTGCCAAACTTCCCCAAGGTACACTCTGTCCCAGCCACAGACAGACCAGCCTACCAGTACACTCAGCGGTCAGCTTCAGAGTTCTACCAAAAGGAGATCACACCACACCCAGGCCAGGAAAGGGCTGAGCAGGGCAGCTCTCGCCCTAGTCCATAAATCCTCTCCCAAGCCTCCTTGGAATGTCAAACAGAGATAATCTGGTTGATTTATTCCAGTTCTCGGCTCTGAGTCCAGGTAAGCCGCACAGGAACATGGGATCCAATGGGGAGGAGCCTCCTGGAAGACCACTGGCTACCGCCCACACCCAGCCCTCAGCCTGACCCTCAGACCACACAGCACATTTTGGGGTACCCATGCTGAAGGTGGAACCCAAGCTCCAGCAGCTTCAGGGAAGACATACGTAGACTACTGACTGGCCCAGCCTGAGGCATGGCAGACAGCACACCCCACGAACCCCACTGCCATGGCCCTCCTCGAGCAGGCCCTACCGTCATCCCCATTTTCCACACTAGGAAACCAAGGCCTTGCCTAAATCCAAGCCTGCCCTGGTAACCAATTCACCGTGATGCCTTGCACCTTCCTTTCTTTTTTTTTTTTTTTTTTTT